TTACACAGCATCAGTCGGTGATCCCGGGGCCGGGGATCTAAGATCCCTGGGGGTCGAGTTGAGTCCTGAGGACCGGAGCACCCACAAGCTTGTAAGCAGCGTGTGCGTGCTCCCAAAACCCGATATGGTCCTCTGCTCCCGCCATATCTGCCCCTCCCACTGACCGTACCTATCACAACACCCTCCCCTGGTCCCCCTAGTAACATAACATCCTCACTAATAAATCCAAACCCCAATTTTCTTCAGCCTTATTCTAGCTTGTTTTCTTTGCCAACTCGCCTTCCATGTCCATGCTTTTAAATCATCAAATAGATCTCCCTCTGTTGTTGTATATATTATTTGAGATAAAAGAGACCATCCAATCGCCATTCTTTTGAGAGGACTAACAAATCATCTCTGTATTATTCCATCTCCCCATAGTTGTCCTGGAATGTTTATCTTCCCTTCAGCCTGTTCTTCTTCTTGCTCCTCAGATTTCTTCTGGTTTATATAGAAAGTCTTTTCCATTTTCAATGTTATCAGTCCCTTTTGTGAGTTTTCCATTAACTGTGTTTGTTGGTCTGTTGAATCCTCTATCGTAGTATTTGATTGTTTCGCTTCTTCTATTGTATTCTGTATAGTTGATTCTTTAATTGTAGTCAAAGTTAGGGTTTGAATATCTAGGCTGACATCTTGTTCTTTTCTATAGCGTCTTATTTCATCAGAAGCTGTAAGAATAGTTTCAAAGAATCTGTTCCTGAGCTTCATCCATATTCTCTTAGTGGTGTATTAAATTAAAAGCGTTACGATCAGGGGATGAAAATAATTGTATCACTGGGTATAGAACACAGCTGAGCTTCTCACAGCTAATATCTGCCAAGGTTGAAGGAGTCTTATTTGTAGTCTAGGCTTCAAGCCAAGTCTCTTTTAGACAATAACAGGTTGTAGTATCAGATTTAGCCACAAGATGTCACCAATGCCGTTTAAAGTTTTTTAAGTCCAAAATTTTTATAATTCTTTTTCCAATTTTACTTCTTTTTTATAAGTAAAAACCCAAATCTTCAGTAGGGATAAGAAATCTTTTGGTCCCCAAATTTTAAAAACATATAATTCCAGTTAAAATAAGGTTATTCTTTCAGCATTTTAGACTCCCCTGAATAGTCAGTTGCCGCTGCTCTTAGAGGGTGGGATAGGATTTCCCTTCCCTCTCTCCACAGGGGGGAAAATACTTTGGGCAGCTTATACAGGTAGAAAAGAAAGTTAGGATTGAAGAGAGGTTCAGATCTCACCCAGTCTCATCCGCGCTGCTTTAGAAGTGCCTGGTAGTAGTAAGTTTAACTTCGGCTGTCTGCAGCCTAGTGACGGGCCATATTTCTATGGCCGGTCTTTTGTCCGCTGGTTTGGAGGGCCGCCCTCCCGCAATCAAGCGGGGATCCCCTCCTTGCTTTCGACCCTTTCCAAGGTCCCCCAGCAGTATGAAATCGAATGCAGAAGACGGAGCAGCAAACCAGAAATCCCATCCATCCATCTTTTTGTTATCATATTAAACTTTTCTCATGTTCTTTTTCATTGTTTATTTTATTGTTCTATTATTTTACTTCTGTTTATACGCTTTTCATTTCTTCCTTTTTATTGTTGTAAGCCGCCTAGAGTAGCCTCACGATGAGATAGGCGGCAAATAAATTTAACAAATTTAACAAATTAAAAATAAAAAACTATATTTAAATTTTTTAAACATAAATTTATATTTAAAAAAATTAATTCTTACAGAAATACATAGTTGTTTTGTCAGATCAGATACTTGTTAAAATCCTGCCGACTTTTTAAAGTTTTAAGTATATTGGCTTGGAAATAATGATGCAACTGGAAATTATAAACAATACATTTAGGTAGTAAGGCTATACATGCATCTAAATACCAGAGATATAAATACTGTAAGTATGACAGTAATATACTTATGAACTTTCTTTCCAGAACCTACAGAGCCAGAATATATATTAAGCAAGAGCAATATAAAAATGCAGCTGAAGATTTATCTGCTGCAATTCATTTGAATCCCCGTAACTGGATTGCATTCTATTACAGAGGTTGTATTTTGAGGAAAATTGATCCAAAACAATCCCTACAGGACTTAAGTGTTTCTGGTATTACTACTTTGATTTTCATGAAAATATGAATTGCATTTATGAAAAAATATTTGTTTCAATGAATTTGTTTTCTAATAATTGTGAGAAAAATATTTCATGCATTTTGAAAAATATATTTTTGCTTTTATATGCAATTTTGAACTGAAATTATAGAACTCTTAGTTATCTATATCTTGTCTATCTAATTATTCCTAATAGTTGCCTGTTTGTTCACAAGATCCCATATATTATTTATTTAAATAAAGCAGCACTAACATGTATATACTCTATTCAGTTTGCCTGAAATATATATTGAGTTGGTATACACTTCTCACAGTTGATATGAGAGCCAGTCAATATGATATTTTAACAACTGATTGTTGTTAGTTGCGAAGTCGTGTATGACTCATCGCGACCCCATGGACAACGTTCCTCCAGGCCTTCCTGTCCTCTACCATCTTCTGGAGTCCATTTAAGCTCACACCTATTGCTTCAGTGACTCCATTTAGCCACCTCATTCTCCGTCGTCCCATTCTTTTATTGCCCTCAATCTTTCCCAGCATTAGGCTCTTCTCCAGTGAGTCCTTCCTTCTCATTAGGTGGCCAAAGTATTTGAGTTTCAACTTCAGGATCTGGCCTTCTAAAGAGCAGTCAGGATTGATCTCCTCTAGGACTGACCGGTTTGAACGCCTTGCAGTCCAAGGGACTCACAGGAGTCTTCTCCAGCACCATAATTCAAAGGTCTCAATTCTTTGGCGCTCAGACTTTCTTATGGTCCAAATTTCACAGCCATACATTGTAACTGGGAAAACCATGGCCTTGACTATATGCACTTTTGTTGGCAGGGTGATGTCTCTGCTTTTTAGTATGATAGTTGATATGAGGGCCAACTTGGTGGGATCTAGTCCAGCCTGAGGCACAAAGCCAGCTGCGTGACTTGGGCTAGCCTCTCATTCCTAGAGGCAATGGCAAACCACCAAAGCAGGCAACTGGAAACCACTTCTGAAATCTTGCTAAGAAAACCATAAGGATTTGTTTAGACCAGAGGTAGGCAACCTTGGCTCTTTTATGACTTGTGGACATAGCTGGCTCAGGAATTCTGGGAGTTGAAGTCCACGAGTCATAAAAGAGCCAAGGTTGCCTACCCTTGGTCTAGAGTCTAGACAATGGCCAAGAGTCAACCCTTAGTTGAAGCCACACACATAAAAGTTGATAATACAATTTTCCCCAAACAAAACAATTTTATATGAACATATCCAAAAATATTGATTGATACAAGGCCAAAAACCATTTTGCTGCCATAGTGGAAATCACTCAGGTATGTCAGGATATTTCATTTTTCACAAATTTGTGAAGGTTTCTTTTACCTTTCTAATAGTCACACATGTATGCAAAAAAAATGAAAGGACACACTTTTAGATATTACTAGATTCTGCTTCAAATATTGGTGAGCTATTTTATAATTGGGACGTCAGTCAATATTAATATCATTTAAGATTCTTGTATATAGTAAAATATTATTTTTCCCCTTTCAAATTATTTTTTTTGAAACTCAAATTCAAGATTATTAAAATCTTGAAACTTCTACCAGATCAGTGAAGAGCAAATTAACTTTTTAAATCTATTTTTATTTTATTCAGAAGGAAGTTAAAATACAAAATTCCCCCAAAATTAAAAAAACAAAAACTAAAAACACAATGAAGATTTTTTTAAAAAGTGCATTGGAAAAGAAAAATAACCCAACCCAACACATATATACATTATCCCCCCCAATCAAATACTGATTAATACATTACCAAAATACTGGTTCCCATTCCTTGCGAAACAGCCCCCCCATTTTAAATCTATTTGCAAATTATTGACCTGATATCTATATACTATATTAATGAGAAATTAGTTAACAGGAAGAACACCAATAATAAAAAACACAAGGTTAAAATGTCAAAACCCTCTGTTAACCAATTGTTATTGTAATCAACTTGAACAAAATTTGCCATGGCATATTATCTATCATCCCAAAAAGTAAGAGTAATTCATCCTGGATCAAATATTAAGTTTGTTCCTTAATGGTATCTCTTATCAAATTTTGTCTAATTAAATATAATAAATTCAGTCTCCACAGTAGGTCTATCTTTCCAACAAAGTCCAGATAGAAGTGGTTTCCAGTTAAGTGTAATAAATTCATTCTCTAATCTCCCTCAGTCCTCCTAGGAAAAAACATTTTTTCATTTCTCCCTTTAGTTAAGTTACTAGTATTGTGAAAGAATATAGGCTTTAGCTTCAAAGAGACATATGTGATTGGTTGGGTTAGTTCTTCATCTGTGGGGTCCATATTTCTTTGGTCTGCAACTTTCACATCAGAGTCCTTTTGTGAATCTAGCTTATCTAAAGCTACATACCTCTGCATATTTTCCATGGCCATTATCATCTCATCAAACTGTTCAAAAAAACTTTCAGCTAAAAGTTGCATGTTACCAGAAAGTCTTTTGTCAGATTTCAGTCACTGTTGCTTGTTTATAATATGATACAACTTGATCAGGGAACAGAGTGCTGAAGCAGGAGGAAACAGGAAAGGTATTTTCTGGATATTTCAATCCAAGATTAAAAGAAGAAAAAAACCCTGCAAATGTTTTGCAAATAGAAAAAATACAAAAGCCCTGTGGTGAAAGTCCAATATTAATGTAAATCAAATGAAAGCACTTCACCATCCCAAAACACACCATGTTTCCTTACAGGGAATGTGAAAGTTATTCAAAATTCTTACCATACAGCAGCCATCTTGGGGAGGAGGAGAGCAAATTAACTTGAAAAATATTATTAAAACATACAAGTGAAACGTCAGTTTTACCAGACCTTGTTGCAGTAGATTTTTCATGCAACAGACTAAATTCTACTATGCTTGACTTCCTTTACACAACAACATTGTGATGCAATTGGCAGTATTTGTGTTATTTCTGTGATGCACAATGCAAATAGCATTTGTTTAATGATGTCACATACATCATGTAACATTGCCTTGATGATGCTTTCTTCAGCTGATCTCGGAAAAGGAATGCCTCCTCCAGATTAATTTATTAATACAGGATTTATTAAAGCTGGATTTAAAGGCACATTTAACAGGTGAACATTTAGGATATTCTTCTCTTACAGTCCTTCTCAATCACAAATATGACAATATTGGTGCTTACCTTCATCGTGGGATCTTGTATGCAGAATTGAAACAGTGGCCCCTGGCCATCTGTGATTTTGAAAATGCAATTGCTTTGGACAGGTATTTTTACTGGCTTCCTCTCTTTTCTTAATTACTCACTATTTAATGTAGCAGTTAGTCATACAAACCAGTTGCAAAAACAACATATCCTACAATAATTTAAGGCACTGAATATCTTTCATAAACACCCATCAGAAACATTAGTTTTTTCTACAAATTTAAAAATGCATAACCAGGTAGCACCCTCTAATATAGTATCACTTGTTAGTCCTGAAATTACAGAAATATAGTAATGGTAACTTCATAAAATGAGTCTTGTATTCTTTTCTATTTTATTAAGTATATGCCTAACCCAAAAGCACTCTTAATACAACAGAAAATTCTGCCATTTTCTACTGCAAATGGTGTTACCCATTCTCCAATAAAACCCCTTTGACTATGAACTTATTTTTCTACAATAGTAGACATGATGTTTTTCTTGTTCTTCAGGAATAAGGGTGAAAATGAAAGGAGGTAGTTTTGTGATAGAAACATTTTTTGTAAAACTTACATATCTTTGCTTGAAGACAATAAATTCTGTGAAATGACTTGCTACACAATGTAATATTTATACAATTTTGTCTCTGTTTTAGGAGTCTTACAACACCTTATATAAATATTGGATTGATTACGATGTTGCATTCAGATCAGTATTTTGATGCTATTCTACGGTTCACTGAAGCCATTCGGGTTGATCCATTAGATGTTAGACCTTATCTGTGCAGGGCTCAAGCTTACCAAAAGGTATCTATTATACATATTTAAGAATTATAAATATTAATTCCCAAACAGGTATTAGATAGATAGATAGACAGACAGACAGTTAGACAGACAGATAGATAGATAACCTTTATTGTCATTTTTTACTGTGGGCACAATGGCACACATTAAAAATGAAATTTAGTTGCTTGCTCTCAAAGTGTACACATACATAACACACATTTAAACATACTATATACAACATATGTATAGACCTACACCCTTACATATAAGTAACATATAAATATTAATCACATTCTCCATTTAGAGCAAAATGCAGGCTCTTCTCTCTGGCTCCTCAGCCTGCCAAAAGTTTATCAGACAATGTCCTTGAGTTCCCACACTTCTGCATTGTTATGGCTAGCTAAACCCTCAAGCATTTACCCCATCCTCCCTTCTACATCTGAACTCTAAAAGAACAGAAAAAGCACATTAAAAGCAAAGGTAAAATGGCATGCTGAATCCATTGTCAGAGCGTGGACATCCATTGTCACAGCATTGACAACGAAACCTCCTCCCAGAAGGTAACAAAGAAAACAGGTTGTAAAGAGGATGGGTAATGTCCCGGACAATCTTGCGGACCCTGCTCAAGCAACGCTTATATGCTATGTCCTGGATGGGAGGGAGGGAACTGCCAATAATCTTTTCAGCCATCCTCACCACTCTCTGCACTGCCTTCCTGTCTGAAGCACTGATGCTTCCAAACCAGACTGTGATGCTGTATGAGAAGATGCTCTAAATCATCCCTCTGTAGAAAGTGGTAAGGATAGGGGAAGGAAGATGTGTTTTTCTCATGTGATGCAGAAAATGCAGGCGCTGCTGTTCCCGCTGTTGAGCGACCAAGCCAGCCTACTTGTTAACTGCACACCCAGGAATTTGATGCTGGTAACCATCTCCACAGATGAATCATTAACGTACAGAGGAGTGTGGCTGTGCTTGCCTTTTCTGAAATCAACAATGATCTCTCTTTTAATGTGCTTTTTCCAGTGTTTAAAACTAGACTGTTCTCCTTATACCAGTTCACCAAACCCTCAACCTCCTTGCGATAAGCACCCTCATTGTCATCTTGAATAAGGCCCACTACTGTTGTATCATCCGCAAACTTCACAATATGGTTGGTGGCAAACCTAGCACAACAGTCATGGGTCAACAGGGTGAACAGCAGCAGACTTAGGATGCAGCCCTGAGGAGAACCTGTGCTCAAGAAAATGGTGTTAGAAATATTTGTTCTAGCTCGCACATGCTGGGGCCTGTTAGTAAGAAAATCAAGAATCTAGTTGCACAAAGGAATGTTTAAGCCTAAATGGCCCAGTTTGTCTACTAGATTTGTCTGCCTGTTACCATGGAATAGTGAGAGATATTTGATTCAGGCCTTTTGTCTTTCTTAATTGTTTGTGAACTCATCTAGTTTTAAAATTATATAACTGAAATGGAACAGGCCTTCAGTTTTCTCATAAAAAGATAGGCAGCTGCATTCAATTTCTAGAACAGAGTCCAAATACTCATCAACAATCATATTCCATGATCTCTTAAACAATTTCTCCTGGTTTGCCTATGCTTTCTCTGTTTGATCTTTGTCTAATTGCAAACCTGGGGACCAAAATCCTAGCAGCCAAGTTATTTTCTTGCTTCTTATGGCAAACCCCTATGAGTTTGCACTAGTTGCCTCATTTTCCCAACTTTATGGGGAAATGGTTACATTGAATTTATAATTTAACTAAACATTTCCAATACCATTGACAAAAAAAGACTGATATGAACATATTATTTTCAAACAAAACAGAATTAAGAAGGAATTGTAATTGGAGAAGTCAATTTCCTAGATAGGGAGGTGAAGGGCATTTTTGTTATTAGACAATGGTGCTGATGATGTATCTGCAAGTAATCTCCATCCCTTACTGAGGAATTTGTTCTACAAAGTGTGCCCCTATGCAAACTAGATCTTCTACCTTTTCTCTTCTCCTCTGTGCATCATTATTTAAATATTGTATCACCTTCAAAACATCCAGGTTTTGTCATAATATTCTGTTTTATTAATCTCTTCTGTTGAAAATACATTGTGGGGGATTATGTAGGTACTGCAATATCAGATCAGTGATATAATCAACTACATACTAAGAGAGAATGGGATACTGAATAGTCACAGTTTTAGGGAAGAAGGATTTTAAAGTTTCATCTAGTTTGAAGAAAGCCAGTTTGGTGTAATTATGAAGATACCAGATTAGAAAGGGGGAGACTGTGAAATCTAGTCCCATTTTAAGCATGAAACCAGTTGAGTGATCTGGGACCAGCCATTCTCTCTCAGCCCTAGGAAGGAGGCAATGGCTAATGACTTTGAAAACATTGCCAAAAACCCTGCAGGGACTAGTTTAGGCAATTGCCAGGAAACAAGACTGACTGGAAAGAACCAAAGAAAAGGAGGGTGTGTGTGATCTAGTTTGATCCTAAATGTTGAAAATGGAAAGAAATAATTGTTTTTAAACAGAATGTACTTAATGTAATGACAGTGTCCACGACTGAGAAATAAAAATGTCTTTTTTTAAAAAAAAAAAAATACAGGTTCATGATTTAAGGAATTCAGTTAAAGATATAAATAGAGCTATTCATCTCCATCCCAATTTACCCCATTTATTCTTAACAAGGTAAGCACTTATTGTGATAATTATCAACAGCAGAAAGTGCATTTCTCCAGCATCTTGCTTAATTTTGTTTTTTAAATGTCCATATAATTATAATGTTTATTATTAAGTCTTAAGTTCAAGATATTTTTTTTCATTTGCAGTATAAGAACACATTTTCAATGTATGATAGCAAGGGCAAAAGATGAAAAATCAGGTTGCCCTTCACATCTTTCTAATTTTTATGAAGTTTTCTGACTGGAGCCCAAACATTACAGGATCAATGAGTAGATTGTAGGTCTTCAAAAAGTGATTATCTCATTAGAAAAATGCTCAATAATTATGTGCCATAGAAATATTAGTAATGAATCAAGAATACTCTTCAAATTAAAGTGCTTTTTAGATGAGAAGTTTTGGAGTGGATAGGAGCATGAAGGCAGTATCCATTTTGCAATTCTTTAAAGCAGTCATACCATTTGTTGGGATTATGTAGCTACTGTCTGGGCTGGTAGTGTTTCCAGCTTCTTTAAAGAATTATAAAGAAGAGCTGCATTTATATTTCATAGAGCAGCGGTTCTCAACCTATGGGTCGCGACCCCATTTGGGGTCGATCGACTATTTCATGGGGGTCGCCAAGCAAGGCTGTCCGCCATTTTTTTTGTCCTCCATTTTTTTCCCCTTTTCCGGCGGGTGCCTTACCTCCCTTGGGCTGGGCCAGCTGGTGGTCGGCCTGCTCCGTCTCTGCCGCTTGCCAGCTACGCCTCGGCCGGCACAGGGGGCGGAACCACGCATGCGCGGCACTCCCGGGCAGGGAAAGTCCTCGACTTACGACCGGTCGGGTAGTTCTCAACTTACGACCGGTTTAGTCCTCGGCTTACGACCGGTTGGGGGTCGCGGCATTAAAAAGGTTGAGAACCACTGTCATAGAGCATCTCTTTGGAATGGAATCTAAAACTCTGTACAGTCATAATAGTTGACTGTAATAATTGTATAGTTGAATAGTTCTTAGGGTGTATAAAATGGGAAAAAATAAACTTTTACAAAAAATTATTTTGGGTAAATAAATTTCTGTGTAAGCTAAAAAGAAATTAAATTTGATCATTATGTATTTATTAAATTGATATGTCACTACTGAAAAAGGAAAAAAATATCTTAAGTAAATGAACTATTTTTGATGTGTCTGTCATTAAATGTCTGACTCAGGAAAAAAGTGAAAGCTTTGGGATTTTTTTATAATTATATTTAATAGATAATTTCTTAACACAAAGGTGGTTTAAATGGATTTTGGAAATACTAAAAATGTTCTCTTATTTTTATAGAGCAGTTGCACTGGGAGAAAGGGACACGGCTAGCCTTCATCTCTATGATCATAGGGTTAGCACAGAACTTTTCCTCCTTTTGTGTTAGGCCTTCAAAAGACTGTGGTGAGCTCCCAGGATTTAGTTATTTAAAACTGTAGGCTTTCCACTGAAATCATATTTTATTACAGGGGACAGTATTTACTACAAATGAAGCATTTTAAGCTTGCAAGTTTCTGTATACACCAAGTGGCAGAAATGGACAAAGGTACAGCTCTTTCAAAGTACTGTGCAATTTTGGTCAGATTCAGCATATTTATTTTCTTCCTTTTATTTTTGTACAGTATAGGGGTCTCCAAACCTGGCACCTTTAAAACTTGTGGACTTCAACTCCCAGAATTCCTCAGCCAGCCATGGCATAGTAGATCCACATAACTGATTATAATTTTTTGAGATTTCATGGGCAGCTATATAAACAACACATGCTTCAAGCCTGTGGCTCTCTGGATCCTACCCATCAATTACAGTTTAACAATACTATGTAAAATATAAGATCGTGTTAGTGTTATAATTGATATTCCATACATTTTTGTTTTGATACTTTCCCAGTGGTCTTAAGCATATTTACATGGGAATAAAAATTACATTGAAAGAACATACTATGAATATGTGCTTGATGTATGGTTTGCAGAACTATTGTGCAAGTGATAAATATATATAGGATTTATGAGTAATGATGTGTGGAAATGACCTTGGTAGATAGGGCAATGAGACATAGCCAAGGAAATAGTCAGATAAAAGGCAGCTTAACCTGCAGCAGGTATATTATATGGTTTATTGCATAGTCAGCCTGGATGTGCCATTTTTGTCTATCGAGTTCTTGAGATAGATATGGATGTTTGATGATGTTAAAGGTATCATCGCAGGATGTAAGCTGTTCCAAATAAAGCTGCCTTTTGCAATTGACTGATGGTGAATTTGTCAATGTTGATAATATTCAAGTGATATTCCAGTTGTTTTGGGATTGCACCCAAGGTGCCGATGTCCATTGGTGCTACCTTTGCTTTCTTTTGCCACAGTCATTCTATTTCTACTTGCAGCTCTTTGGATTTTGTTATCTTCTCCAGTTCTTTCTCTTCTATTCTGCTGTCTCCAGCTACTGCCATATCCACTATCCATACTTTTTTCTTTTTTATCGACAAATATTAAGTATGGGGTGTTATGTGTCAGGTGCCTGTCTGTTTGAATTATTATTAGTTATTAAATTTATTTGCTGCCCATCTTGCCACAACAATGGAATGGGGCAAGAGGCTCAGAAGAGACCCTCCCTAGTTTCTATGTCTCTAAAGGAGACAGAGGGAGAGAAATACAGATGGTCTTCAGTTTAAGACTACAATTATGACCAAATTTGTTTTAAGCAGCATGGTCATTAAGTGACCACACCCAATTTTACAACCATTTTTGCTCTTTTATTAAGCAAATTACTATAGTTGTTAAGTGATATGTCACGTGATCTAGATTTGCAGCCTTCCCTACTGTCTTCCCTGTTGACTTTGCTTGTTGGAAGTTGGTTGGAAAACAAATTCATGTGATCACAGGGGTGGTGCAAAAACCACAATTTGGGGGAGAGTTTATAAGTCACTTTTTTCAGTATCACTATAACTTGATCCATTGATAAACAATGGTTGTAAATCAAGACTACCTGTACTTTCAGACTTGCAAGATTCTATTAATCTAACCTTATAATAAAGCAGAATTAGGTCACCTGGTCGTGTTTCCTGTCTCACCTAGCTAGTAAGGTTGATAGAATGTGTTCGTGTGATTTGTCTGCAATGTTTCACTATGTCAATATGTACAATAAAATGTATGTATGTTGTCTAAAACACAAATAGTGTCACATTCAGAGTCAGCAGCATCTGCTGATGAGAGCAATGGGGATCTGAATTCTGAAAGTAGCAGTGCAGCAGAGTGATGCAAGCTACTTTCTTTTTGTACATGTGCACCTACAAAATGGGCAGAACCTGGGGAACATCACTTCTTTTGTCATTCTGTCAAAAGTCAGAACTTCCTGTGGCACTTAGAAAATTTGTACATTGACAAAATTTCCATCTATCAATTCCAAAAAGTTACACTGCTTGGATCTGCACATATGTTATTTTGATACATTATGACATCCTCGGTTCTTAGGAAGAACTTAATGTTTATGAAGACCAACACTCTCTCCTTTCATTATCTGTACACCGATGTCTGCAGTAATAATAACTTGGTCTATTACTATTACAGTTATTTATTATTATTTAAATCTTCTACAGGATCGCTTGGATGTTCACTTGTTCAAGAAGCACTTGTGCAGTCATTTTGTCAAAACTATAACAAGGCTATTGAGTGTGCAATTGCAGCCACGAGAAACCAACCTGAGCCAGCTTTGTATAATCTACTTGGAAAAATCCAGATGAAAGCCAAAAAATTCAAGGTTAAGACAGGAGTTTTTGTTAAATCTTTTAAAAAGGCAAATCCCTAAAGAATGAGTGTTGTAGAAATACTGTTTGTTAAAATGGGGTTGATTAATATTGGCTTCCTTCTTCAGCTCTCATTCTTTATTTCCAAATATTTTAGTTTTCTGTTTTGATAGCCAACGCGCAGTGCTTTACTAATCAAGCTGTCATCCCTTTTGTTGAGTAGGGTTTTTTTCATTTATATAGTATGTTTAAAAACCGAGCACATCATCTCTATTGGAACATAATTAATCAATTGTCGATTCCTTCCTGCTCTGGGGCTGTGAATAGTTGAGGATCAAAGGATGTGTGTACAAACTCTATCCAAGCAAAAGAAAAAATCCTCTTTTAAATTGACTCCTGCCAGTTTCCTAATCCTCTTTTTTTCCTGCTGCAGCCATGGTGTATTTCACCTTCGGCTATGTAAGAAGTCACAAGAAACAGGAAAGAAACCTTTCTCTTCCTCCCCTGGTACATATATTTATTTATTTCTCCAGCTTGCATGGCTGCCTAACTCAAAGTAAATATGGGAAATGTACATACAAACAAACCCACAACACAGATTGAAACAGCAGAACAGATCGGCAGCTAAGACCGCAACCAATATACGACCCTGCTTTCTCATTCAGCATTCTAGCCCAGTGCCCAAAGCAGTCAAGTCTTCTGAACCTTACCAAAGATCAATAGATCAAGACCATATGAATAATTTGGGGCCAAACTGTTCCACTGGGCAGGTGTCACAACAAGTTTATTTTCTGAATCCCATCAAATGACATAGTTTGCTGGAAGGGACTTGGAAGAGCTCGGAGAAAATTCAGCCCAAACTTTCTTTAAACTGTGCAAATCAGGCAATCAGAAATGTTCTGCATTAACATTCACTTTTTCTTCAAAGAAATATTCCTAGAGTCTAAAATGTAATTAGGTTTTTGATTTTATCAAAAGTTATATGTTGATTTTCTTGGGTATGATTTGGTACCTTCCTATTTCTACCCGTTCCCAAATAAATCATCTTTATACATTTCAACATATGACTTTGTAAGTTTGAAAAGCTCCATTTCACTGAACATTTTTTCAGCTATAATATTTTTTATGCTCCCCTAGGGTTCTAAAGATAGCTCACTAGGTTCTGTGGGAACTGGAACATTCTGGCTTTGGGAAAATTAATACAAAAGCTCTTTGCCATAGTTTTTCCTATAACTAAGCACAAGGGAGGATGATATAAGTTGCAACAAGGCAACTTATATCTAGCAGAACGTTCAATGTACTTATTAGCATTGTGTAGTAATTGCTTTCTAGGGAAGTTTTACAAAAAGGTCTCTCAAGCGAAATTAAAATTTCACATACTCCTTGAGTTATAGTTTTCAACGACCACAATTGGATCCAAATTTCCAATGTAAGTTGTTATTGTCATAAGTCGAGGTACCCCCTGAATGGATCTGATTTTATGACATTTTTTGTGTTGCTCATTAAGCAAATCCATGGTCATCAAGTAAATGCCTAAGTGTGAATCTCTTCTTCTGCACGAGCACTTTTTGCTGAAAACTGGTAAAAAAGTTGCAAATCACAGTCATGTGACTGTGGGACACTGCAACTAGTTGTAAAAGCAGGCCAGTTGCCAAGTTCCCCAAATGCAGTCATGTCACTATGGGGGGAGAGGGTGGCACAACATTTTACAATGGCCAGACATGCTTTACCATAAAGCATCCCATTTTGACTCTGTTGTAATTTCAAAAGGTTGTTAACCGACCAGAGGATTATCTGTTTGAACAATATTGTTTGCTAATATTTTGTACAATATATGTGCCCCACTGCTCTTTAGTGTTGAACTCGTTACATGTTATACCATATTTACATTCTTTATTGGGACCTGAAATGATGCAATAAGCAAAGAGGCAGGAAGCTTAAACAGTTTAAACAGGTCATTGGGAAGGAGCTAACTTTGTGCTCATTAATAGATCTTTTTAGAACCATTATTTTTGTTGAAAGAGGCCAGAATAATTGAAAAGAGAAGAGGGGAATTAAATCTTATGTGATGGACCATGAGCCAACTGTAGGAGTACAGATAATCCTCGATTTACAGCAGTTTGTTTAGTGACCAGTCAAAGATACAACACCACTGAAAAAGTGACTTCTGACCATTTTTCATATTTACGATTTCATTGCCGTGTGCCCCATGGTCACATGATCAAAATTCAGACACTTGGCAACTGATTCCTCTTTATGATGCTTGTAGTATCCTGGGGTCAAGTGATCACCTTTTGCAACCTTCTGACAAGAAAGTCAGTGGAGTAGTCAGATTCACTTAACTGTGTTACTAACTTAACAACTGCAGTGATTCACCTAACAAATGTGGCAAAAAGGATTGTAAAATGGGGCAAAACTCACATAACGAATATCTTGCCTAGCAATAGAAATGTTGGGCTCAAATTTGGTTGTAAGTTGAGGACTGACTGTACAAAGTTGACCCAATAGAGATCTCAAGTATTTGGTTAAAAGTAAGAGTCCCCAACTCTTCAGTACACCAACCCCTTCATGATGGTTCAGACAATCTATAGATTCCAAAATATTTATTATATGAAAATTATTTAATAAATACTACTTTAACTAACAGTAGTACAAACAACAACAATAATGACTTCATAAAATAGGTAATATTAAAAGTATAAAAATATAAGGTTTAACATATCTTTATTACTGAAACTATTGATATGGGAAGGATGCATCACATGAGCATCAACAAGGGCACTGATACTTGATTGGAGAATAAGGAGAATGTGCTCAGTGTGGGAGGTGAACAGGAATACTACATGTACATGTATCCTTCCCAGGATAGGGGAGATGAAAGAGACAAGGGGGAGAATGGAAGGCACACAGACACACAATACAGACACACAACACAAAGCAAATGGGTAAATGAGGCCAGTAACAATACACAACTGATAGAGACCACTCGAGGCAACTCTTGCTGGGTTATTCACTGCTAGCCCTGTCACTTTTAGGACTAGGGACTTGCATGGAGCTCTGCAGAGATCCCAAAGATTAATGGACCCAAATTGACCTTCCATCATTTTTTGACCACCTATAAATCCACAATATTTACTGACCTCCTTTGATTCCCAGTCACCTATCAACACCATGGATAGTCCCATCAATACTTTGGGATTGATATTAATCCCTTTGGGAAACTCTGTTTTAAAGGGTCATGCACTGTTAAGAGAAAAAAATATCCTCCTGTGAACTTGGATAGTTATTGCCTAGAATAATGCAGCTTTCTGTTACACAAATGGCTTGCACTGAGTAGTGATGGATATAAATATATTGATCATATTTATAATAACACATGTTTGTATGTAGATAACATAGGCAAGGCAAGTCGGAAATGTTTATTTTGTTGACAAAATGTGCAAAATTAATGTAAATATGATAATGACTATTTTCTTAAGCAACTATGAACAGGAGAGCAGGACTACCTCCAAAAGTAGGGGTGCTCCCATACGAGCTTTTATTATATAGTCATTCATAGAAGTTTTGGAATGTCCAAACAATGTTGCCTTCTGTTTGCAATCTCTCTTTGTCATATGCTGTTTTTTTCCTGTTTTATATCTTAGCAGAAAAAGGTTCATTTGGGAAGAATAATGGAATAGTGAAATAGCTCTGGACAATGCCATTTGGCTGGTGGTGCTATCAATTAACTATATGCTACCTTTTTATTACAGGATGCTCTTTCCAGTCTTAATGAGGCTTTGATGCTGCTAGCTGGCACTGACAAATGTCTTCCTAATACCTTTGAGTCTGCAGAATTATATTTTTTAATGGGCCAGTGCTACATGGAGCAAGTTTTTCTATTAGAGGTATGCATTTTGACTTTGACCTGGTTCAAAAATAGTTGGAAAGCTGGAAATAACAACATTATAAGAATTGCCTGGTGTCCAATTCATCCCTTACCCATTTTCACAAACTGGCAATTATGAACATTAACAGCCTGAAGTATTAAGACCAGGCTGGCTAAAGAACTGTGTTTTTTCCAACATAACATTCCCACCATTTGATCTTTTTCAGATTCAGAAAGACTCACCTAACCCCACTTTTGTCAATTTGTTTCAGTTGGCAGATTTCCTTTTTTTGAAGCCAGCTTTTGATCTGGCTAGTTAAACTTAGTTTTGTCCCTGAGTAGAATTTAATTGATATACTGCTCTTAATTTTCTATATGGTTGCTATTATTACTTCATATTAAATATTATACAATATAGCATTGATATTTAGTTCAGTATATTTCAGAAAATATTCTTCATTGTTATTTGCTACCTTAAACATCATGACTGGAAAGGTCAGCATTATTTTGATTAAAAAAGGATCACACAGTTTGACATTGTTTCTTCCTCTCAAATCTCTTTTCAAAGATTATCTGCTTGAATGTGTGTGTGTGAGGGAGACAATGATTATATATTCCCTTTATTTGTTTCTTACATGAATATTACAATTTTATAGAAAAAAATTGTTAGGTGATTATCTATTTGTTAGAAGAACATTCTGGTTTGATCCTGAGTCAGGGTCACAAATTAAAGAAATACACTGGGCAAGGTCCTTGAAAAGGAAGCTGTTTATCTGACAGCATAGAGCTACTTGAGGCTGGTAATATTTATAGGAAAGGTGGTCCTTTTTGGTGAATGTGCCCTTTGAAGCATTTGTTCTGGTGGACATGTAGCCCTAGTGGGGAGATGTCCTTATCTAACTCTGCTGAATGTATAGATCTTTCCCTTGGTGTGTGGTTATGGGCTGATTTTAAGCACCTCATTTGTGTGTTTGGTAAAACTCTGTAACTTAAAGGAATTCCCCTGGTTGCTATTCTGCAGTTTAATCAGTTCAACCTGCCTGTCAATTATTAGGTTGAAAGAGGTTAAGCAATCTTCACAACGTTGTATTGTCTTTGTTTGCAACATAGCTTCTTCTGATTTTCTTACTTGCAAGTCATGTTAATACTTGGAAGTAGTGTCAAAAGGCAGCGCAGGAATTATTCCTGAATTAAAATTTCTTCCAACATATTCATGGAAGAACATCCACAGTCTCAACTTTAAAGTTGTTTTAATAAAATGTGTCAGTTATCAATTATCAGTCTTTGTAATAGCTTTATATCAGTGGAGAGGCAAGACCAGAAAAATCTGATTCCATAAAATCTAGATTCAATTCATTGTTTATGAGCAAGGTCAATTCCAATTTGGAAAAAAAGAAAACATCATGTAATTTTAGTAGTTCAGTAACTATTGCTTTATTTATCTATTTATCTTTCACTTGACTTTGATATACAGATATATGCAGGGCTTTTTTTCTCAGAGAAAAGGTGGTGGAATTCACCTCCCTCCCCTGGCCACGCCCCCACCCAAACCTGGCCACGCCCTCATCAAACCCTAGGACCGCCCCTTTAGAGAACAGGAATGCAAGTAAAATTTGGGAGGGGCTATAAAAGTAAATGTATGGAATTACATAAAAAGCAATGCAGTACATGTGCAAAAAAATTAAGCTCAGAGACATTTCCTTTTTGAAAGGTGT